ACAGAACAACAAGACAATCAGGAACAGTGTGGCAGTCTCAAATGGAAACGTTCACCAAGTTAAGCCGACATATTAATTATAACAGTTACTGTGTCGCTTGGTAATTATCCTAAACAGTAAGCATTTCACATAAATAGCCGTAATTAGAACCGCACAAGTCTCCCAAACTGTGTCCTTTGGAATAAGTAGTTTCTGAGGATGTTAATAAGTGTTTGGATAGAAAAGGGTCGTAGCGTTAGAGACACGCAGGCCATGCGGGTATAATTCCGAGAGAGAGCAACACCTGCCTTCTGCTTCCCCCGACTTTCTCTGGTCTCTGGAAGGTGGCAGTGCAGTGGCGAAGCAGACAGACCAGACGAAAGATCCAGGGCAAGTTACTGGGTTTCTTTAAGCCTTGGTTTCCTCCTCTTTCTACATGCACAGATCACGTCAAATGATCACTCCCGGGATTAAATACAATATTGGATTTAAAACACTCAGACCAGAGGCTAGCACAGAGTGAGAACTCCATAAATAAGCAATTATTATCTATTGTTAACAAATATCTCTGATAGCCTAGCTTATTCCCTGATTCAAACATATCCGCACATCACACATTGTCACATACAATGTTACTTACATTTCTTAAAAGTCAGCCTTGGCTCTGACTCCCGGTTAGTTGATATTCTCTGCGTCTCCACCTCACCACAGCCTCCGGCAGGGCTTTTGCCCTCCTCCACTCCAGGGAAGGGGACCAGGGAAACGAAGGATTTATGTCCTGGCAACATGGCCTTTGACGAGTCGTCTCTAGCTCATAGTTGCCTTTGAGCACACTGCAAAAGGGCACGTACCCTCTGAGTGCACACTGTTAGGACCAGGGCACACTGAGTTAGCCACCCCCTCTCCACTTGCCTCCTCCTTAGGATGCCCTCGTATATATAGTAGTTTTGACTTTCAGGTCTGAGGAAGGGGCTGACAGCTGGTGATCATTGAAGAAACAAGGTAATGGCTCCTTTAACCCAGAAGCTCAGGAGACTAGGTCTCCACTGCCCTAGTCAGACACACTATCCTTCCTCCCCTCCCCTCGCTGCTCATTCACACAGGAGCCTGATGTGAGAATACCTTTGCTGATACCCCATGTCTTCCCTGTTCCTCCGAAGCCCCCTGACTGTGATTGTCAGATGACAGTTTGGGAAAATAGAAGCAGAGGGGGGATGGCTTTCCAGGTTTCCCTTGACACATGAGGAGCACTCCTAGCTTATGGTCAGGGGAAGGCCAGGGACAGAGAGAGGCTGGGTACACCCACTAGTTTCTCAATCCCCACTCAGTGGCCAAGGTGCTTGGCTTCCAATAGGGGCTCTCACCACCCAGAGAGACACTTCCTCCATGAAGCAACCTTGGGAGGAAGCAGATACTCCCTGTTCTTCTCTGGGGATGATGGGTAGGGTGGAGGGGGACAGGCACAAGCTCAGTACCACATAGTCTCTCTCTCACACACACACACCACACATGCACACCATAACACACACACACACACACACACACACACAGAGTCTCCTCAGAAGAGATGCTACCTGAAAGCATCCCTTTTCAGCCTAGAAGCTCAGGCTAGGTGACCTGTGGTAAAGTGGCAGGGCTGTTCCCTGTCTGTACCAGGGCCCCTCTAAAGTGAAGAAAGGGTAATGGGGGCCGGGGTTGGTTTGACAGGCTCCCCACAGCTCGGATGTACCAGTCTAGAGGGGTTGTCACTCCCCCTGAAACCTGACAGGTGTGAGCGGCTCAGGCCCCAGGGTGGCACAGCTGGACCAGAAGTGGCGTGTCCCCATCTATCCTGCCAGCGACAGCACTGGCCTGTGCATCAAGGGCAAACTGAGCCGACACCGTTTTGCTCCGGGTCTGCCTTGGGGGCTTTTCAAGAGGAAGACAAGCTGCAGCCTCGGCGGGGGTGGGGGTGGGGGGTGTTAGGGCCTGTGGTCTTCAGGCTGAGGAACAAAGGCCCAGCTGGGGAGGGCAGGGGAGCCTTTGCCTCTTCACAGGGCTGGTCCCCCTCCTCCTGTCTTCTCCCGGGGCCGGTGACCTCATCCCCTTCCCTTTCCCTAAGGGTTGGCCTCTCCCTCCATCCCTTCTTCATCAGCTCCCTGGGTCTAAAACCTGCCCCCCTCTTCCTAGTCTC